GTCCTACAGTATTTTTTTTTTTAGAAAGAGAAGAGCAATTCAAACATCTCACAGATCCATTGTATCCATACACCTCCATTGTTTAACAAGCCCACATTGCACAAAATCACATTGATCTTGAAGCCTTGACCAGCATTTATGATTTTATTTTCTTCATTATGCATCAACCTTTTTCTGTTTGACAGTCTGACATCAGTCCACGACTAGAAAAGGACAAGCCTTCACTCTCTACCAGCAGCTTGCTCACATGGCTGAACATTGTACAAGGTTTTCACTCTAGCTGTCCCCTGCAACTACCTTCCCAATCAAATTCCTTGCTGTAAGGTTTCTAGATTTGTCCAGGCTGCCCCAAACACCTCCTTGCTGACCACAACGGGGAACATGCACACAGCAAAGCAGTGCCTCCATTCCAGGCCCATTCCCTGAGGATGCCCTTGCAGAGAGAAGCACGCAGGGAGCTCTGTGGTAGAGAGTGGAACAAACCATCCAAAACAAACAGTTCATGAGGCTCTTTTCTAGCCATTCCAGTGTTAGCTGGCTTATGCTCTGACAAGACAGTACCTACACCCATGACAAAAGAAAAATTAGTAGGATATTTTTCATTAGCAAAGTTCTACTTTTTTCAAACTTGGCCATACTCTCTGCACCTTACTATTGCCAGTAGTGATCTCTACAACCCTGTGACTGAGTGGGAGGAACAGTCACATTTATTCACGTAAAACTAAAACAGAAAACTAAACACACAAACTAAAAACACCATTCAATTTTGGGAAAATATCTTTAGTTTTTCCCATCTTAATAAAACCTCCATAATTTTTATAATATACTGAAATATGAGTCCTTGAGGTCATGCAGTTCTTCCTCCTCTCAAAGAAGTACTACCAGTACCTCCATCATCTTTGATAGATGTTTACTTCTTTAACCAGAATCCAAGAGCCTCCAATGAGAGAGATTTTACAATTTACATAATCAGTCTCTATACTTAGAGATTATAAATAAAACCAAAAATACCCCTATTCCCTCACTGATGAAACCTTCAGAGGTGTCCCACTACTACTGCCCTCTGAGTTTCCAGTATTTTGGCTTTTTAGTCATACAGATGGCAAAACCAGAAAAACATTATTGTTAAGCATATGCCACGGATTTACAATTGCTTCTGCATTATTCCCTGCCCCACCTTCCAATCAGGCTAACAGTTTGTGTGATTTCTTATTAGTGAGACACTAGGCAGCTCACAGGACATCCAGACCTTTCTCCTGAAGAGTGACATTTCATTTAAACCCACCCTGTATCAGGAGATGCAAAAGTCATATATGAAATTCCTTGTTTACCCCTTTTTCCCAATCACTGATAAATCTGTTATAGATCCTCCATAACCATCAGACCTATTGTTTAGTCTGTTCTAACACTGACGAGTTATTTATCATATATATTAAATATTTGTTTACATGCTGGCATGCTCTGACACTCTTCTTTCTCTGCTGTAAATGCCATTTCATATGAGAGAGTTTATGTATTCACCATAAAATCCTAAGACCAAATTTGAGAAGTAGATAGCCAAACAAAAAGAGGACTGAGGATAAGGAAAGCAGTCACATCAGTGACACACAGGTTTGTATGAATTAGCAATCTCTGAGTGGAACTAACATTAAACTGTAGAGATTAGCAGGGACTATGAAATAACACCTATTAGCAGAAAATAAATATGGATAAGGACTGATATTGCCATAGAGAGCTTCCTAAGCATAGCAGAGAGGACAAAGACCAAGATCACTATGGGAAAAAGAAGGTGATTTGAACTGACAGCAAGCACATTGCAAATACAGCTATGACTCCAGAGTTAAGAAAGGCACATAGACCTTTCCAGGGGTATCTGGTGGATAAAAGGCAAGAAGATTGGCTTTGGAAGGAAGATAAAGTGGGAACAGGAAAAGGACACAGCAGCAGATGAAAAAGGTCAGAACAACGGGAGAAGAAAATGAACCTCTCAGCAGGTTCTTGTGTGCAGATGACACAGCCAAGGTCACCAGCACAAGGCACCAAGCAAAGGCTCCTGCAACCCAGTCACAAGAGGACAGATGTCTGGACAAGACCAGCACCACAGACCTTCTCAAGACTAAACAGGCAGATACCTGTTTGAGTAAGAGAAAGACAAAAGAGAAAGAAACAAAGAAAAAAGCAGGAGAGGGAGACACAGGCAGGAACCATTTAAGGGATCCAGCCAGCAATGAGGCCTATGGTAGGGACTAGAGGAGAGAGGAAACTGAGGAAAGTAATGACCTGCAGCAAGACTAGTAACTCGTTCAACAAAATGCAAGGCAACAGCTGAACAGCTAGAGAAATGTCAAAAAGACTGCCTGAAATGTACTACTGGAGAGCAGAAAATGCATTGATAAAAAGATAATAAATATAAATAGGGTGATTAAAGCCATATTTGTCCATACAAATGCTAGAAAAACAGAGGAACAACAAAAAAGGACTAAGTACAGCATGAAGCCTTTCAGGGGGGCGGGATTCTTCCCACAGAAATGATGTGCAGGACACTGATGAACCTGAACAGGAGTAAAAGCATAGTAAAAATAACTAACAGAAAGAGATTTAACCTTTCTAAAAGCCCAGCTGCTAACCAGAGGTGTAACAAACGATCAAGGTCTCAAGAAGGAGAGAATGAAGCGTCCCACTTGAGAGTTTTAACCTTTGAAAGATTTCACCTTTCAGAGGGATCCCTTCTGCCTGGGACAAATGAGGAAGAAGTCATCATCTAAGCTGGCAATATGGAAAAGCACAAAAGCAGGATCAGGTGCATGAGAGCAAAGGGCAAAGTGACCTTAGCCAAGGAGCATATGTTTCCAGAAAGATCAGGTGAATCCAAGAGCTAAGTGCCCACAGGAAATACTGCAAAATTATCCTGATAATTTAAGTGTCAACAAAGAAAAAAAGATTTCTCACAACATTCTGCCTCTGTTTGCTTCTCCCCATTTTTTGAGGGGGAGAGAAAAATAATTTTCAATAACCAAATTAAATAATGTTATCATAGAATAAAAAAATTAGGCATTTGAAGAAGAGATTGGTCCCTGAAATTAGAGCAGAAGCTGACTCCAAGAAATTCCACTAAAGTCTGCTATGCAACTTGATTTTTCAATGAATTAATTCAGGTGTTGACACACTTTGGGCAGTAATAAAACAGAGGAGCCAGTGCTAGGCAAACTCAAGGTAATGGCGGGCATGGCACATTCTCTTATTTGACAGGATCCAGGGCCTGGAGATAAAATGAAATTATAGCTTTTTTTCATCTTTTTAAAGTAATGGAAGAGTGACTACCCCAACCCGTGTTTTGATCAAAATGAACCTGAGATGAGGAAAAAACTAAAGGAAAGAACAAACCAGGCACCAAAGCAGAACTAAAGGAGATAATAATGAAGGAAAAGAGAGGGTGATACAAGAGGTGTTCAGGCACCAGGACAACAGCAAAGAAGCCCCAGCCTCGGCAACAAGAAGCAGGAAGTTATATACAGATATTCCAGGCTAATGGATACATTCAAGTAAGGTACCACTAGCAACAAAACTCCCAGGGTAGAAAAGGCAGACTTTCCTGGCATCCAAATGAGTAATGGAAATGAGTTCTGCTATATTCATTCCAGTATAAATTAAAAATTTCCCAGGCTTGAGAGCCTTGCATGCTGCTTTCACACGAAGGCCAGCTAGATGTGGAATAAGCAAATTCCCATAACTATTTTTGCCACTCTTCTCGATACTAAAGGAAGAGCACTGGTGTGCAAATGCCAAGGGAAACTTTAGAAAAGGCAAAATCATCCCATCTGCCACCCTCCCAACTTGCTTCTGGTTCTGCTCAGATACAGCCATCACAATCCAGAGCACCTTGACAAACCCACAACGAAACCACTGCTACCACCTGCACAGCTGCTCTCCATCACCCCGAGCAGCTGCCAATCTCGCCCAGCCTGCTCCTGTTCACTGGCACCACAGCACCTCTGCACAAGGCCACCTCAGAGTCCCTGGCCCTGCCAGATGCACCATGCCCAGGATCCAAAGGACACACACGAGATCCTACACATCTGGAGTTAGCCTGAATCAAGGAGACAACTCAAGAGTCTGCCTGGAGCCCCACAGATTTCTATGACCTCTGTACAAGAGCCCCCACCTGATGTCTTCAAAAAGGTGTCACAGGAGATGCCAGGATCCTCGAGAAAGAAGCACTCGGGAATATCAGCATCCAAATAATATTACATTCCTTTGGGCTCTTTAACAGCCTTATTTCTGTTCAATGTGTATCAATGCTAGAAATCCAAATGTTATAAATGGTGACTGCTCTCAGACACTAGAGTCATTTAAAGAACATTTCCAATGGCAGCAAAACAGGGTGAGCATTTCCCCTTAAATGGAGATCGAAGACCTGATTCTTAAACAAAAGCTGGAACATTTTTAAAGATCTGAAGGACTGCTTTAATTAAGCATGGCACCCTGAAATTCTCTCGTGGGTGAGTTTCCATAGACTGTTACAGACCTGCAGAGCTAATCTCTTCAAGCCCCTGAAAGTCACCTGTTAAGTAGCCAGAGGATACAAATGAGCCAAGACTGGAGACAAGAACCAGAGGCAGCACCCCAAGGCTTCATCAGGCTCTCATCAGAATTGTTTTTCAAAACACAAGTTTGATTACAGAACAAAGTGTCCTACAAGCCCATATGGGTTAGATCCAGTGCAGATTCTGCACCATGATCAGGCTGAAAAGCATGCTATTCACCATTCATGGAGAATCACAGCAAAAAGCACAGCACACATCCCCCCAGACACAAGCCTGTATTAACAATGAATCAGTGCAGAGGCTGGGGGTTCTACAGACCCCAGTGTTCCCCTGGTGAGGCAGCTACCAGCGCCCCAGGAGCACACTGCAGGAGCTGATCCAGCCCAGCACAGAACCTCCAGTTTCCACTCATCCCTCTATTCAGAGCCAGCCAGCTCACTAACTTTCCCGACTCACCACCCCATGGACCAGAAACTCAAAAAGTTTGCTTTTCGTAGCTTTGCGAGCCCCTCCTGTAACTTCATCTGTAGCCATCAGGGTCTGCTCAGCCTCTCTCACTCTCTCTCTTCCTCTTTCTTTCCCTTTTCTGCCTTTTTCTCCAACTCTCCCCTCTGAGTCCTGCTGGGCTCTCACACTTCTAATAGCACGGAGTGGGGAGGGGGCCCCTTCAGGGCCTTCCTGACGGCCCACTCGCGCTCAGCCTCAGCTGCTGCATTCCTCCACTGATAAGCCAGAAATAGTTTGTGCTGCCGGGCTCTGTCTGTTTACTCTGCAGGGACAGAAAATCCAGCTTTTTAAACCTCTCTGTCCAAACAGCAGAGATAAGCAGGAGGCAAATTGAAAAACACGTCTCAGTTTTCCCTGGTAGTGCTGCAGCCTCTGCTCCTCTGCATCAGGGATGGGAAATTCTGGGACAAGGGGAAGGGGGAGGGGGCAACTTCAGCAGTGACACAGAGCTCAGCACCTCGCAGAGATGTTTTCCCATTAGAAAATGCAGCAGGCGAGCAGTGGTTTTCCCTTGCTCCCACTGCTCCTCCTGCACTGCATTTCCAGGCCCTTTCCCCAGGGACCTGGCAGGCAGCACACAGAAACATTCGCTGGCAGCATTTCCAGCATGAGAGACGAGAGCTAACCCCTCTGGACAAGAGAGAAGCAGCGGGAGGCCGGAGCTGGGAACAGGGAGGGACAACATGTGGAAGCGACGGGAAAGCAAGCGTGTGAGATCAGCAAAAGAAGGGGGTGGGGGGCAGCATGGCGGCGCAGCTCCCACGGCTTGATTCCACCCCCACTCCCGCCAGCTCTCCCCAGTGACCACGCTCGGGATGCTCTGCTACCACTGTGATGGATCCTCCAGAGACCCCAGGCTGACTGACAGACGCAGACAAATTATTAACACCGCAGCTGCTGTAAGACATCAGCAGTTCACTGCTTGTCACACAAAGCCCTGCACGACAGCGTGTAACATCCCAGGACACTGCTGGGAAGGTGAAGCCCAAGCGGGAAGGGAGAAGAGAGCAGCAGCCCAGCCCCTGGCGGCGCCGGCAGCACGGCAGCCATTCCACGGGTTGAGCGCGGCTGCTCCATGATGGCCGAGCCCGCAGTGAGGGCCCGGGGCACCGTTCTGCTTCCCGCAGCTCACCAGGGCCCATCTTTCCTGCTCTCCCTTAACACAGCGATAGGCGAGATGTTGCCAGGTTACAAGAGGGGTTTATTCTCTTCCTCTGCTTGAAATTCTTGTCTAGGGGCTGAGAATTTTCTGGCAGGACTGCAAACAACAGGATCAGATCAGAAACAAAATTATTCTGCCCTCATCCAATAATAAAAACAAGCAGAGAAAAGACACTGCATTGACTAGTAGTGAAGGGCAAGCCATGAAGGTCACATGGCCTTCTGAACATGGGGGTGAGGACAGTGACCTCCACTGATTTTTAGGGTCACCCCAATCTAAGTGCTAGTGTGTGGCAACAGCCCGAGGAATCACAGAAACTTAGGGAGGGTGAGTGTGGTTATCAGCTCCCCCTCAGCACCTCAGAAGGAATATGCCAAACAAATCAACATAGCCTTGCCTTGTTTTGTACTGGAAAAAATTCCTTAAATTCTAGCTGAACTAAAGGCACATATGACATGGTCACGTCAGGTTAACTTGATCTAGAGGGCTTTTTCCAACCTAAACGACTCTAAACGCCAGTGTGCCAGTGTGACTGGCAAGGCGGCATGCAGCTGGTATCTGTCAAGTGTTTTAGACCCCAGACTCACACAGGAATGCTGGTTCCCATCATGGGAGCCCCTTCCCTGCTCCCGGCAGACATCGTGCATTTTCCTCACACTCTGCACTAGCTGTGGGTGCCGCACTCAGACCGGCCGGCGGTCTCAGCAGTCCCGGCCGTAGGGGCACCGGCCCCGGCCCGTGCGGCTGTTTCCCCCTGGCGGGGAGCCGTGCGAGCCCCCACCGCGTGAAACGGCACCAAGGCCGGGCCGCAGGGCTCCTCCAGCAGCCGCTGCTACGGGCCCGGCGCGAGCAGGGGCGGCGGCGGCTCCGGGCTGCGGCGCGGCGCGCGGTCCCCCCTCGCGTCCCCCCGCGCTCCGTCGCCAGCACCATCGGCACCGAATGGCAACGGCGCGCCCGGCACGGGCAGGGCGTGCGCCTGCCACGGTCCCGGCCCCGCCGCGGGCGGGCGAGGACCGGCCCGGGCCAATCCGCCTGCCCGGGGCCGGGCCGGGCCGGGCCGAGCCGGGCGGGCAGAACCGCGGCGGGCGCAGCGCGGCCCCGGGCGCGGCGCGCGCATGCCCGGCGCGGCCCCGTGAAGGTCAGCGCGGGCCGGCGGGGACGCGCGGGCGGCGGCGCTTTAACCCCTCCCGCGCCGGCACCGCCCGCGGCCGGAGCAGCGGCACGGAGCGGCGCCCGGCTGTTCTCGGGCCGGGCCGCAGCCCCGAGCCCCGGCCCTTTGTCCCCCGGCCGGAGCATGCGCTCGGCTGCGCATTTCAGGCTTCTCCTGTTTTTCCACTTAGTTGCAAATACGGCATGGAGCCGCAGCCGCCCCGAGCTCCATCAATAGCCACCGAGTCCTTTCTGGAGCAGGAGGACATTTGCTATGAAGTGCTAGTAATTTAAGCTGAAAACCATACCATATATATTGTAATCTATCTGGATGTTCTTAACGGACATCCAAAACCAGGTTTCCTTGAACATCAAATTCCAGGGCCAGCCACTTGAAAATTAAGGAATGGCAGCCTCGCTTCAGCCATTGACTGAGTAAATGTAAAAAAAAAAAAAAAAAAAAAAAAGTTTAAAAATCCTGTAATAATAAAAACTCATCTCTTAGCATGATGGTAGCTCTCCAAGCACTTTAGAAAAATCAGTACATGCAGCTCTTATGTTTTGCAAATGGAAAATACAGTACAAATGGATGGAAGTGACTTGCCCAACATTACCTAGCTGAGAATGAAACCCATTTCCTGTGATTCTTCAACCCTTCACAATAGTGTCCAGGAAAACTACTGTGTGAGGCATTTGCACAAAAGGGTGAAGGTTACCATGCAAGAATGTAATTTCCCACATTAAGAGAAACAGCATATGATTTCTCTTATGAGAAAATTGTTTAGTCTTCTAAATTGTTTAGTTTTCTATTTTTCCAACTTCCCCCCCCCCCAATAAAAGTACAGAAAATAGTTGTCAATGTTCTTTTAAAAAGTGACTGATTTAACCCAAGTGATCCCCAACTGCTGCAGGTATCCTGGCAGCTCCCAGCCGTCTCTGACCTGTAAGCTCTGTGTGCCACAGGGCTCTGGGCAAGGCTTGTGTTCTTCCACTCATTCCTGAAGGCTGAGCACATGCTGGGGCCTCATTCATACTCACTTTCAGCTCGCTTCATGTCCCATTCCCAGAGCACTTCATTTCAGAGAAAGGCTGATCTCCTTCCCTGGTACTTCCCGGGGCACTGGGAGCCCTCTTGGTGTGTGTGCTCTGCTTTGACTTCTGCTATTCAGGGCTTTTCAGGCTGTTAAACTAAGATGGTCCAATTAGAAAAGAGATGAACCAAGTTGTTTTACGGAGAGGTGTCTCCTGCTACTCACCATTTTTTGGTCTGTAGGTAATTATAGAAGTAATGAAGGTGCTGATTGCCTTAAGCAGGTGTGGTTTCCCTCACCCAAGTTTCACTTAAGTCAGCGTCGCTCTTTTCTCAATGAAACTTAGAATATTTGCAACAGTTTTGGAATTGATGCAATGTGGCATAGACGACATGCTGGAACCAAAAAAATATCCCAAGACAGAGGCTCTGGTAATCTAAAGAAATGTCCACTTGTTCCTGAGTTCACAATTATTCAATACTCTCATTAAGAATATGGATAATGTACTTAGAGAACAAGCTTATTCAATTTCCTAGCAGCATACATTTTGGAGAGGTTACAAGTTTGCTACAAGAGATTATCAAAATTAAAGCCCTGAGGACCTGGAGATATCTCCTGTTTTTTCAAACCACAATTCAATCAGAAACAGTGCAGGGTTCCACATAAGGATATAAATCAGCAACTATCTAAACAGGAGATGAAGAACTGGCTGAAGAGACCTTTTTTTCAGAAAAAACATCTGGGGATATGATAGATGGTAAGCTGAATGTGAGTTAACAGTACTGTACTGTCACAAAATAAACAGATAAACCCCAGAAGATCAGCAGACTGCAGAAGTGCTGCCCCACTGCTCTCATCCCCTTGGTGGCAGCACAGGCACTGACAACAGTACTCTAGATTCTTCATTTTTCCTCATTCCATCTCTCCTCCCCATCCCCTGAGCTCTCCAGGCCACAAGCTGTTCCAGCTCAACATTTCCTTAAGGTTGAAAAATTTAATGTTTCCAGAATTGCTGAGGGACTCTTCCACAGCAATTCTGTCATGGTATGAATTGTCAGGGTCTCACCCAGACCAACCTTTGCTGTCACGGGCTCTGTGCACCAGAGGAAGTGGGGGAGAAACCAGGAAGGTTAGGGAAGGTCAGTAAGTGTGACAGGAACTGTAAGGTCCAAACAAGATAAAGAGAAAACAACAGTGGTCAGGTGTCCAAAAGGCTGCTGCAAATAGAGGGAAGAGCTGCTCCCCATACACAAGTACAGGAAATAACAGCTTGAATTTCTCCCAGGAAGATTATGTTAGATATTAAGGAGAAGCACAGCAGTGACGGTAGAGATGTTCTGAGAGAGTTTGTCCAGCAAGGATGGGACTCCTCATCACCAAAGGTCTTTCAAGAACAGGTTAGACAAGCATCTATCCAGACTGATGTAGGTGGTGTGGATCGTGACTGCGGACAGGACACAGCAACAGCTGATTCCCAGAGATTCCTTCTACCTTATTTCCATACAGAAACGGAAATTTTGTAACACAGACGTTCCTTTCTTTGTTAGACCTTCCCAGTACTTGTTTCTAAAATGTATCAGGGAGGGAGGGAGGAAGGTAGGAAGGCAGGAAATAAGACAAAGAGAAGTGTTTGTCTCTGTCTCTGAAGGTTCTAAACATCATTGTGAAGAGGTAGAGTGAGAAACTTATTTCATGATTATTTT